TATATATATATATATATATATATATATATATATTTCGCAAAGGCGACATACTTTGTTTTATTTTGAAAAGTTCTGTGGCGGAAGTGGCCTTGCCGCTGTAATGGAGTCTCCTCCAGGCAGGCGGAGCATCAGCGATGATTCACCGCTAAGCAACCCTGGAGAAGAGCGGCGCAGGGCAGGCGGAGCGGAGTTCTGCTCCTTATCGAGGGGAATATGCTGTCTCTGTGCCTGTTCTGGGGTAGGTCTTGTTTTTTTGTTTGTTTGTTTTAATATCGCCGCTGAAAAAAAACTTTTAGAAAGTTAGACTTTATCCCCTCCTTAAGCCAATAGGTTGAATATGTATTTATTTAGAAATAGGGATCTAAGCGATATATTCGGAATTAGAATACCTTGAAAACAAAGACAAAACAAAAAACAAGGACTAAGTCTTAGTTATGTTCATAAATGTTTATTGTGTCATATGGTGATGTTTACGCTCACTCTCAAAAGGCACTTTGATAAAGAACCAAGTAGCCATAAACTTTCACCAACATTCCCTTTTAAAACAGCAGTTTTTCATGTTTAATATGTCCAAAAGTTCTGATTGTCTTTCCAAATTTGCACCATAAATCATTGTGCAATTTTAAAAATGACTTGTCCAACAAAAAAGGTTTTATTGTTTTTGGCTGCAAATCCCATAAGAAGAAAACAGCTGTAGCTGAGCCCCACCTCAGACCAATGAGCCTCTATACAAACAGCTGCTTTGCTGGGTTTATATAAGTACTATACAAACTACTTATAACCAAACGGTCAGTAATTTTATTTTTTTTCAACTGAGATTTTCTTATGAGGGTATAAAATGTTCAGAAAACCAAAAACAAGAACAAATGTAAAATAAAACAACGTTGTATTTCTTTTGTTGGGGTTGATGTATGGAACAGATTAGATCAGCAACTAAAATATTGTACAACATTAACAAGGTTTAAAAACATATTTAAGAATAATGCAATAAAAAAATTATGAAACACGTGAATGCAATTAAGAGCAGTAATATATTGGGTGTGTTATGGGGAAAAAAAGTTATTATTGTAGAATAATAATTTTTCCAAAAATCATATGTTGGTATGTGTTATAAACACATACCAACATATGATTTCCTTTTTTCTTTGCTTTTATTCATATGTAAGTGGGCTTTGGAGGGTGGGCAGTATAAGTTTCTTGCTTCTGCCAATACATCCTTGTTCAGACTGTTTTAATTTATGTTATATGGACATATACCGTCTTTATTATATACTTGTATGTCTGAAATAAACAAGCTACTAACCATTTAAACCTCATGCACTTCTGAAATTTCTTAGTTTTAAGTCAAAAACATTTCTAAATGTTATCCTCAGGTATGCTGTCAGCAGGCCAACACCAGTTCTGCTACAATCCAACCATTGTTGCTCTTTTTCCTTTCAAATAAAATAATTGCAGGATTTTCACAGCGGAACAGATTTGATCCAATTTTATAAACCGTTCAAGGACCACAATGTTATCTTTGTTTTTACCGTGACAGAAAACCTTCTGCTTTATGTGAAGCTTTGACCTTCTGGTAAATTTTTTTAGATATTTCAACTTTCACTATAAGAACTGAAAGGCACTAAGATAAATAATAGCAGTTTAGCATTTTTTTGCATTGCTGCCTTGGAGCAGTCATTAGTTATTAGGAGCATAGATGATGTCACACTATGACTAACATGGATAACCTCACCAAATAAAATCTACATGTAGATTTTCTAGAACAGATTCACACACCTTGGAGGTCCTAAAAACAACAACTGATTGCAAAATATTATTTATAGTAGACATCATACACAAGTCACCATCAGTCAGAGCTAAATAAGCAGAGTATTCACATTCAAATATTTAAATTGTGTTTTAGATAGCAAATTACCGGTAATACATTTTTTAAATAATCTTTGATTATTTAATTTAGATTTTTTCTAAATCATTTAATATGACATTAAATTATTAAATTGGACATTGTTTAATTTATGGCATGGCTATTTGAATTTTGTTTAATATAAATGTATAATTTTACATTAACTTATTTCATGGTGCATTTATTTATTTTATGGGGCATTCACATTTACATTTTTTAAGATTTATTTTGGTTCTCCATATAAATAAGTAAGAGCATCACAATCATTGTGAAAACCACCTTGAGATGGATAGAGAGTGGGTTTCCTACTCTCTATCATGGTATATTAATGTAAAGTTCAGTTGAGGAGAATAAGGTGAACATTTCTTGACCAATTGTTGACGGCAAATACTGGTCTGAATTTCTGAAACAATCTTTTTTTAAAGACGTTGTAATATACGGTAATGTGTTTTCATTAGTTGTAAAGCAAATAAGAGTTCCATTCAATTTAGTTCATCTATCCATTCATCTTCCCCCGCTTGATCCTTATCAGGGTGGCGGTGGGGCCGGTGTCTATCGCTGGCAATCTATAGGCGAGAGGCGGGGTGCCCCCTGGACAGGTTGCCAGTCAGTCGCAGGGCAACACGGAGACACACAAAGACACACAACCATGCAAACACACTCACACCTAAGGAGAATTCAGAGACAACAATTAACCTAACAGTCATGTTTTTGGACTGTGGGAGGAAGCCGGAGTACCCGGAGAGAACCCATGCATGCACAGGGAGAACATGCAAACTCCATGCAGAGACCCCAGGCTATAAATCGAACCCAGAACCTTCTTGCTGCAAGGCAACATCGCTACGCACTGCATCACCGTGCAGCCCTTAAGTTTATTTATATAGCACCATTTCACAACACTTTAACTTTGGAATTATATCACTCTGAAATGTGATTTTCTTTTAATGGTACAGAAAAAGTTGAATAATGGAAAAAAAAGGATTTTTCCAGGATATTCCTCTGTTCAGAGATGTAACCAGTTGTGTTTGTGGTTTGTAGCCTTTGTCACCCACAGCTCAGGGCTGCTGTCTCACGTGCAGCACTACGAAGTGGTTCGACCTCAGAGACGTCAGGAAAGACGGATCAGGAGCCTACAGAACAAGCAGGTGAAAACACCTTACTGAGTTATTGTTTTGGTGATGGAGCTATGAAATCCATAGAAGGACATCCAGCTCAGTTTTCTCCGTTAGAACTGTATTGGGTTTTCTGGTTTATTTAAATTGAATCACATTTTATTACAAATGTAACTATAGCTGTGATGTAGAGATGCACTATGATCCCTCCGCTGATGTTTTATTCTGCCCTTTAAGGTTGGGCATCGTTTGAACATAATGATCCGATTTGTGTTTTTGATTCTGTTTCCTATCGATTCTCATGTTCGATTCTTTTGACAGGAAGGATCATAAAAGTTTACATATTTTACATGAGCTGCTTATTAGATTCTGGATGAAATGGTCTAAACCTCTTTATGAATGTTCATTCCTTCAACTTTGAACTTTGTATAAATGTTATTATAGATTAACACATGAGTATTTTTAACTAGTATATAAATATCAAACCCATAAACTAAAATCTTCTAAATCTTATTCATTATTCTCAGAGGATTACTCTTTCACATACACTAGGGATGCACGATATTGGGATTTTGGCCGA